CCTCCCTGAGCCCTCATTCTTAGTGGAGGGAAAGAAAGAAAGAAAGAAAGAAAGAAAGAAAGAAAGAAAGAAAGAAAGAAAGAAAGAAAGAAGGGAGGCACCAGCCAAGCTGGCTGAAGCAAGCATCAGAACAATTGTAAAAGTGCTTTCTGCCAGCTGCTAGACTCCTTGTCACCAATCTGATTGGTAGACTAAACAGCAGGGACCCAGGCTGATCTCTCCCCCCTCCGCGGTGAGACAAGCCCTGCAGTGCAGACAGCTCAGGCTATCTAGGAGAAATCAGCACCGTGCTCATGCGTTTTGCTGAAAACCGGAGTTTTGGGGGGCGCGATGGTTAGCATCAAAACTGGCAGCCACGTCATAACGGAGAGGGCCGGGGGACTCATCAGACGGCTTGATTGGGAACAGGGGCGCAGGGAGGGGCTCAGCCTGTCTGGGCCAGCCGAAGCCAGGGAGACCCAAGAGAGGGAAGCGCTCACCACACTAGGTATGAAACATCCAGGAATCTTAGTGGGGCTGAGCGCTCCCCTCCCGCTTACCTTGGAGGTGGCTGGCTGTTGCCTGGGGCAGTAATCGTGGAATGTTCCATAGGCCCTCTCGATGGGGGGCGGTGTCTCCTGAATGAATTCCTTCCTGGCTGCCACGTGGCAGGTTCCACTTTGCCATGGATTTGCTGCATTAAGGCAGGCAGAGCGTCCACCCCGACACACAGAGCGGAAGGCTCCCATTGGCTGGTGCTCCACAACCTGGTGGGCGAGGTTTTCTCTTTGAGGACCAGTTAACAACATTAGAATGGCTGTACTGGGTCAGACCAAAGGTCCATCTAGCCCAGTATCCTGTCTGCCGACAGTGGCCAGCACCAAGTGCCCAGAGGGGATGGACCGAAGACAATGATCAAGCGATTTGTCTCCTGCCATCCCTCTCCAGCCTCTGACAAACAGAGGCCAAGGACACCATTTTATCCCCTGGCTAATAGCCTTTTATGGACCTAACCTCCATGAAATTATCTAGCTTCTCTTTAAACTCTATTATAGTCCTAGCCTTCACAGCCTCCTCTGGCAAGGAGTTCCACAGGTTGACTACACGCTGTGTGAAGAAGAACTTTCTTTTATTAGTTTTAAACCTGCTACCCATTAATTTCATTTCCATGTTTTGTTAGTCTTTAAGGTACTACTAGACCAGTGGTCTCCAACCTTTTTACACCCAAGATCACTTTTTAAATGTCAGGACAAGCCAAGATCTACCCCATCCCTTTCCCACAACTTTACCCCTTCCTTGAGGCCCCACCCTCTCTGTTCCCCTTCTCTCCATCACTTGCTATCCCTGGCCCTTATACACTCTCAGGGTACAGCTACACTGCTGCTTTTTTTCAGCCGTGAAAAAAAAGAAAGAAGAAGTTTTTCTGACATTTGGCCCATCTAGACTGGGCCAAATGTAGGAAACCCAACTAAAATGATTAAGGGTTTGGAACGGGTCCCATATGAGGAGAGGTTAAAGCGACTGGGACTTTTCAGTTTAGAAAAGAGG